AAATGCAAGAAATATTAACAAAATATTGAAAATGCAAGAAATATTAACAAAATATTGAAAATGCAAGAAATATTAACAAAATATTGAAAATGCAAGAAATATTAACAAAATATTGAAAATGCAAGAAACATTAAAAAAAAATATATATATTAGGACATTAAACTTAATAAAACGAAAATTACAAAATACTTACCTCGCTACTAAGATTTTCCCCGCTTCTATGGTTGTCCCTCACTTTTGCCAAGACATCTCTCCATTTTGCCAACTCTTTATTGAGAATTTTCCACCTACTAGACAATGTCATTTCCGTACGAGTCGACCACGGAATTCTTTCACAAAATTCGGCAAGCATTTTTTTCCACATATGACAAAATTTCATCTCATTGCCTAACACGGGTCAATGACAAACTTGAAGCCAAGCCTCAGACAAGGAAACATCTTCCATGGTGCTCCATGCCCCTCTGGTTTTGATAGAAGAGGCCATAAAAATAAGAAATAAAAATACAATTTGAAAGAGAGGAAAATGTTGAGTAAAAAATGAATAATAGTAGAAGTAGAAGAAAATGTATGAAGATTGGTGTTGAAAGTGAAGGGTATTGATAGATATTTATAGAAAAAAAAATTCAGAATTTTTTGGTTTTCTTAAAAAAAAAATTTCGATTTTTTTTCATAATTTTATTGCAAAAAAAAAAAAAAGCCAGCTGTTGGATTGGAGGAGGAGAAGCAGATCGGAGCGCTCAGGTCTTGACACCTGTCTTATACCCGTTGGAGATTGCGCAGGGCTAACGTCAGCGCACGCGAGTTCAAATTTTTTTACCGCACGCGCCAACAATAAAAAAAATTCAAACCGCGCGATGACGCGCATGATGTCATCCCCCCTCGGGCTCGAGCTCGAGCGAAATTGGCCTTAGGGCCAGCTTGTCTTCGTGGGTCCCACTCCTAACCCGGGCAAGACTGGCCCGCTGGAAGCTTGTTTTTCGCGCAGCCCGCCCCCAGCCTCGGGCTTGGGCTGAACTGTGGAATGGCTCTTATAGCTGTGACATTTAGGCTGAGATGGTTGTATGATGAATTGGATTTACAGGGGCCAAGAGCACATTTCCTTTCAGAAGAAAGTTGTGATCCAGCCCATATCGATAGGGTAGAGCCTTTTTCAGTAAGCTTCCCCGGCAAGCTGTGTGTACTTTGGCGCCCCTAAAACGCTTTTGAAAATATCAGTTCTCTCCTTCTTCCCCATTGTCTCATCTCGTGTTCTGTTTCTCCTTCTGTGTTTTGGGATCAGTTGTGGTGTAGGAGCATACGTTGTGGTCGTGGAGGTACTATTTAGCGAAGGCATGGAGCAACAGAGCAACCAGAAGACGGCCCAACAACAAGATGAACACGAAGAAATGCAGCACGGCCCTGTCCCCGTTGAACAACTTCAGGTAACCCATTTCAAATTTACGCTCATTTCGAACAATTCAGCGGCTTCCCCAAATGGGTTCTTCTTCAATATGCTTCCAATGGTTTATCATGTTTAGATTCGTCTGTTCCCTTCAAAATCGAAGAAAGGGTTTTTCTTTTTCTCTGAATTGGGTTCGAATTTCTGCAAATTGTTGTTCAAGATTCTATATTTCATATGGGTTCTGCAATTTATTCTCGTTTTGACCATCGTACGATGAAATCCAATAGTGTTATCATTTTACTTTTAATTATCAGTCTTGGGTTTTGTTCTTTACCTGCAATGCGAAACCCTAGCCAACGGCCTATCTCTTTCTGGTTTTGATAGTCGTATGGGTTTGGTTTGTTACAGATCAGTTCATCCCGGTGGAGATGAAATTTATAATCTGGATTGCGTATTTTCACTGACCAATGATATTTCTATCAAAGTAGCAATCTTTCTTTAATTGATGATGGAATGTTTTTATTTTTTCAAATAAAGACGTCAGGTATAGCTTCCATTGATGTAAAGAAGCTTAAAGACGCGGGTCTTTGCACAGTTGAAGCTGTTGCATACTCTCCAAGAAAGGATCTTCTGCAGATCAAAGGAATCAGCGAAGCTAAAGTTGACAAGATCATTGAAGCAGGTATGTCATTCATTGTTATCTAATTTTCTCGTTTTCCCATTATTTTTATATGTGAAGCTATTCACTATTTGCGATAATTTGATATCCCATTGCCTGGCTTGTTTCATTTCATTGACAGCATCCAAACTTGTGCCTTTGGGTTTTACTAGTGCTAGTCAGCTCCATGCTCAGAGACTCGAAATCATTCAGATTACTTCCGGATCAAGAGAACTTGATAAGATATTGGAGGGTCAGTTCCCACTGTTCTTCTTTTTTTAACCAAGACTTGTCTCCAATTTCAAGAACTTGCAAGTTCTTAGATTTGAGTCCTTGTTTTACCAATAGGAATGTAATACTTTAAACTTCAGTTGATAGTTCTGTGGTATCAAAGTTTCCACGTGGTTTTCTTCCGACAGGAGGAATCGAGACTGGATCTATTACTGAGATATATGGTGAGTTCCGTTCTGGAAAGACCCAGCTGTGTCACACACTTTGTGTCACTTGCCAAGTAAGTGACTTTCTTTTCTCTTTAACATGTTGTGCTGGTACAGAAACCACCGAACTACAACCTATAATTTCAATTCACTATAGTGCACTTCTGATTCATTTTGATGTTTCAGCTCCCATTGGATCAAGGAGGTGGTGAGGGAAAAGCAATGTACATTGATGCTGAGGGTACATTCAGGCCACAGAGACTCTTACAGATAGCAGAGAGGTTTGATATAAATATTTTGAGGTGAACTTGCTGTTGTGATTTATGTATGCTAGATGGTCAATGGTGTTGTTGGTACAGGTTTGGACTCAATGGTGCTGATGTCTTGGAGAATGTGGCATATGCTAGAGCTTATAACACGGACCATCAGTCAAGGCTCTTGCTTGAAGCAGCTTCCATGATGGTAGAAACAAGGTGTAACACTTTATCAATTTTTTTCTCTTGTCTCGTATAGAGATTTGTTAATTATCATGAATCAAGGTCTGTCGTGAACCTCTCGGTTCTAGTTATGCGCTTGTTTAGAGTTTGGTCTAGTCTTCAACTTTTTAGGTTAAGACTAATTATTTAACGGATGTCTCTGTAGGTTTGCTCTCATGATAGTAGATAGTGCTACAGCCCTCTACAGAACAGATTTCTCAGGAAGAGGAGAACTTTCAGCCCGGCAAATGCATCTTGCAAAGTTTCTACGGAGCCTACAGAAGTTAGCAGATGAGGTTAAATTTTTTACAGCTTCACTCATAAAACATACTCAGACCTCCTAGTTTAGCTTTGTTATTTATTGGTATTTCCCTTTTTGTACACTGCAGTTTGGTGTGGCTGTTGTTATCACAAATCAAGTAGTTGCACAAGTGGATGGTTCTGCAATCTTTGCCGGCCCTCAAGTTAAGCCTATTGGTGGTAACATCATGGCGCATGCTTCCACAACAAGGTTTGTCCTTCTAACTTCATTCTCTACCTTCCTCCCAGAACAAATTACTCTTGTGTTAGCATTTCTAGTCACTTATCTCTTCTTATGATAGGCTTGCTGTCCGGAAAGGAAGAGGCGAGGAGCGGATCTGTAAAGTAATAAGTTCTCCTTGTCTGGCTGAGGCCGAAGCACGGTTTCAGATCTCTCCGGAAGGTGTCACTGATGTCAAGGACTAATACACTTCAGCTCTTGCTGAAACTTTTGCAACATCTTGTTCATGTATTCTTGTTGTTTCTTGTAAAGGGTCTGCAAGGAACCTAGCAAAAATGTCGCAAGTTTGTAATTGTTTTTTGTCTACAGTTGTATTCAATATTTGAATAGTTTGTCAAAAGTTTATAAAATTTTCCAGTATGTTTTTTCCCCCATTTTGTCTGGTTATTTCACTCATTTTAATGGTTTTGTAATGGAAATATAGACCTATTGCATGAAGCACTTGTACAGTTCAAAATTCAGAACCGTGGTACAACTCAAGGGTAAAAAAACATTGCGTCACTAAAATTTTACTGCGACAAAGCAATGTTACAAACAGAAAGTAAAAGGTGAAAGAAGAGAGGCAAAAAGGACCAAGCAATTTCGCACCGTTTTCAACTGTTTTCCTTAACCGAAACGGCGTCGTCCTGATGCTAATACACACAAAGAGCTCGCGTTTAAATCTTGTTTATCGTTGAAAGCCGGTACAGAAGAAAAAGAGGAAGCGACTGGACTGAGAAATAGGCGTAGGCAATTGGGATGACGACAACCACAAGCGTTGTCTGAACTGTGAATTGTGAGAGCGAGAGCGACGAAGGTTGAAGAGATTAAGAATGGCAAGTAAGGCCAACCTTCCGAAATCTGGAGCCATTTCCAAGGGCTACAACTTCGCTTCTAACTGGGAACAGGTGTTTGCTTCCTCTTCTTTCAATTTGGCACAGCCTCATTGCCCTAGATTCAAATTCACAATTTCAGTTCATGTACATCTGATTTTTCTCCAAAAATTTTCACTATAATTACACTTAGCAAGCTTCAGATCAGATCAGATCGGATCGGATCAGATCCTTTCGATATGGATTTTGATATAGTGCTTTCTTTCTTCGATCGCTCTGCAGAACACACCATTAACGGAGCAGCAGCAAGCGGCCATTGCAACCCTATCGCATTCCGTCGCAGAGCGACCCTTCCCTCCCAATTTGGTCAGATTATTTACAAATGCAAATTCATCTATTTATTTCTCTTCCGTTGTCCTCACGATTTTATCTCCATAATAACATGATTTTTTTTTTCTTTTGCTTTAATTCTAGGGCCAGGACCGTACAGGACATCAAAATGCCCTGTCCGTCTCCACCAAGGACAGCTCCTTTGGCTCGGAACACTCTGTTGCTATAGAAGCCGTTCTCGTCAACACAAATCAGGTAATTTTCACCATCACATTCCTTTGTCTCTTCCAATTCAATGGCTATTTCACTGCAATTTAGCTTCTTCTACCTGCAGTTTTACAAATGGTTTACAGATCTTGAAGCCGCTTTGAAGTCGGAGGTTAGTACTCAATTTTCGCACCAGTACAGCTCCTTATGATTTAAGCAAGTGTGCATATGCGCTCATTGCACATCTTTTTTTGTTTTTTGTTTGTTTTGGGTTTTTCAACTTTTAAGACAGAGGAGAAGTATCGCCACTATGTAGACACTTTGACAGAGCGCATACAGACATGTGATGGTATACTTGGTCAGGTATTGGTTATATATCTATTAGTATCATTGAAGGCACTTTTGTTTTAGATTGTTATGCTTGTTTGAAATAGCTGGGCTTCATTCTATGCAGGTGGATGACACCCTAGACTTGTTTAATGAACTGCAACTTCAGCATCAGGCGGTAGCAACGAAGACTAAAACTCTTCATGATGCATGTGACAGACTGGTGGGATTTTCATTCTATTGTCACCTTTTTTCTTTGTTACACTTTCCTTGGTGTCATCTTAAACCACTGTTTGTGGTGCCTGAAAACTTGTTTAAAACTTGCTGTTTCTTCATTTCTCCTTTGCAGTTAATAGAGAAGCAACGACTGATTGAATTTTCAGAAGCACTCCGCAGTAAGCTGAACTACTTTGATGAATTGGAGAATGTAAGGTTTGAATGCTACCTTAACTAGAATAATATTCCTTTGTTGAGATTGTCGGGGGTTTATAAAAATAAAATATTTTTTTTCTGTGTTGAAGCTTTAAGTTTTCATGAATCTGCATAAGTCAGTTTCTTCTCAGTATGAATTTTCCTTTTCAGGCGTTACTTTGTAGTGTTGTTCAAACTTAAACTGAAGTATATATTTTGAATCTTTGTGCCAAGGATCTTACCTTCTTTGGTTTGTTTAGATTTGTAAGAAAATAACATGATGCACAAAGTCTGTATGTAATACCATCCAGAGTATATATATTTATATTCATCATATAAATATATCGTATACATAATTCATGTTTAAATCTTCAATTTTGTGCAGATTGCGACCAATTTTTATTCTCCAAACATGAATGTTCTAAATGAGAACTTTCTCCCTCTTCTCAAACGCCTTGATGATTGCATATCGTAAGTGGGATACCTTTATTATTTGTAATTCTATGCCTCAGACACTATTCCGTTAAACACTTGCAAATTTGTCAGTGATACTAGGAAACAATGAGCATTTAATAAGGATATATTATTAAGATTAAAACTTATTGTTTTCAAATGACTTGTTCCTACTATAGGTATGTTGAAAGCAATCCACAGTATGCAGAATCCAGTGTTTACCTACTCAAGTTTCGACAATTGCAGGTACAATTTGCCAGAGGTTTGATTAGGTGAATAGTATAGAACGGAGATTCATCTTCTTGTAAGATTTATTTTGACCTTCAGTAATATATAAATATACATGTTTTGGACAGTCTCGAGCTTTGGGCATGATTCGTTCTCATGTACTTTCAGTTCTCAAAGGTGCTTCTTCTCAGGTAAAGTTACCATATTGAACTGAGTTTCCATGAACACATCTTTCGTAGTTTCCTTCAGTATATACATGCATTAATGCATATTACACCACTTTGTATTATGTTCACTGTCTTGCATCAGGTACAGGCAGCTATCCGAAGTAGTGGGGGCAGCAAAGCATCTGTTTCTGAGGGTGTGGAAGCATCTGTTATATATGTCCGTTTCAAGGCAGCAGCAAGTGAGGTAACAGTAACCCCTTTCAGCTTGGAATGATCTATGGGATTAATTGAAATGTGGTTACTGCATTTAGCAGTCAGGGCCTGAAAGGCTGATTGCAAGTTGATCCTGGAAAACGTTTTTGCACTAGTATTTTTAATGTGCGAATGCAGTTCTGTGCATTAACTTTAAACTCATTTAAGTGTTGATGTCTAACAAATAGAATCTCTGCAGCTTAAGCCAGTGCTGGAGGAAATTGAAAGCAGATCATCAAGGAAAGAATATACTCAGATCCTGGCGGAATGCCACAAACTATATTGTGAACAGAGACTTTCCTTGGTGCGCTATATTTATTTATTTATTTTTAATTTTTGAAAAGGATCATTGGTTGTTTACCATATTAGTTTATTCATTTTATCACTTTTATCTTGTCCCCCTTTTTGTCCAGGTAAGAGGTATAGTACATCAACGGATATCTGAATTTGCCAAGAAAGAGGCCTTGCCATCATTGACTAGATCTGGATGTGCATATCTAATGCAGGTAAGATATATATATATGTTACAAGGACGTTCATTGAAATAGACTCCTTTTAAAAAAACTGGCAATGAAGGACTTATAAATATAAACTGAGGATGGTATGATTCGCCCTGTCCTAATTAAGGACAGCATAAGATATCTGTGATGTGTGATCTAATATGGTATGCAACTTACTGTCATTTATCAATTTATGCTGCATAGATATATTGAGTATGCTGTACGGTCACACTTGGTACAATTTAGCAATCTTTGGATTCCATGTCATAGTTGATGAGAGTGATCATTTTCTGTTTTTCTTTTATATTGGATCAAGGTTTTTCATTCTATTTTTCACTTTCAGAATATAATAAAATAATTCATGTTGTAGGACAATAAAGTTTCTATTGTAATTGAATTTGAAACTACTTATTTGCAGGTCTGTCAGCTTGAGCATCAACTTTTTGATCATTTTTTCCCATCTTCTGCAGAGGACGTTTCAAGTTTGGCTCCACTGATAGATCCTCTGTAGGTCTTCTTTTCTCTCTCCCTCTCTTTCTCTCTCTTGCTTTATTTAGAGGTGACGTGTAATAACTGGGGTAAGGCAATCTCTGTTAAATTACATGTGCCAGAGGCAAGTCAGGCTTGATTGGTTTCTGTCTTTTTGGCCTTGTCCCTTGTTAGGCTGTTACATTGTAAGGTGGAGGTTGGCTCTTTGATTGGTTTATGTGCACTTTAAACTATATAATAACCTCCTTATGGTGATAACTTAATGCAGGTCTACATATTTGTATGATACACTGCGGCCAAAACTTATTCATGAAACAAATGTTGATTTTCTTTGCGAACTTGTTGATATATTGAAAGTTGAAGTCCTAGGTGAACAGTTAAGTCGGAGGAGTGAATCATTAGCTGGTCTACGTCCTACACTAGAGAGAATTCTTGCAGATGTTCATGAACGGTTGACTTTCCGTGCTCGAACACATATTCGTGATGAGGTGATTCCTGTTCCTGGGAGTTATTGTTTGTTGATTTCATTTCATATGACAGCTGTTACCTCTTTGTTATCATAATTCTTTCAATTTACTTTGTCCACTTCCTTTTTTTTTCCCTCTTGATTGATGATAGTGGTGATTTTCTGTAACATTGCTTAATGTTTATTTCAGTAGGTTGTTCTAAATCTTGTTGGATATCTTTTACTATAAGAAGTAACACTTTTGACATCCTTGTTGAAACACTGGAACTTCTCAATTAAACAAATGGGAAATGGAAGGTGATCCTTTTCCTAAATGGTAGAATGAAATGAATGGAAATATTCATTTGTTTGAATATTGATTGAACTTGTTGATTCAATGGTCTGCTGTCTCATGTTGCTTGATTTTAATCTATGTCTTGCATCAATTTAATATCTAGCTTAAAATGAGAATGAGCTTGCAAAAACAAGTTTATTTTCCAGTGGAGACACAAGAGCTTACATGCTGTAGAAGGAAAAAGTAATTACATTTATTCTTAATTTTCTAATGATGTTTGGTCTTTCCCCAGTTCATTGTTTCCGGTTATCCACTTTTTAGCCGGCACTTCTACTTTATTTTTCCAGCATATCTTGTATATTTTACTTGACTAGCTACTTTTTTCCTTTTTTTTTTTTTTTTTTTTTTTTTTTTTTTTAATTTATTTAAGATTTCTCTTGTTTCTTTTCAGATAGCAAATTATTTTCCTTTGGATGAAGACTTGGATTACCCTGCAAAGCTGGAAAGATCTGTGGCAGATAATCTTGAAACTACTTCTGTAAATTTTTTGCCATTTCCTTTTTTTTCTCTTTGACATAGAGTATATTTTTAGTTATGTATCTTGTCGTCAAATTTGCCTAGTCCCTAAATTATATCTTATGGGACACCAGCACATGGCTTAATAATTCTGATATTCCATTATGTAATCTTCCATGCCCTCAATGAGTTACTTGTTCAGTCTGTTGATATTGGTAGTTCACTTATTGAAATATCCACAACCGAGGAACAAACTATGGGTTCTAGAGATGCCATTCAGTGACCCAAGAGTTTATTTATCACTTCTTTTGCCAAAGATATCCGTTAGGTTTGCAGTCTACCTCTAGGACACTAGTATGCCTTTGCCCATGTAAATATTTCCAAGCTGGTCATTTCTACTGTTAGCTCCAGTTCTGTGTCATTGTTGGCTGCTTTAATGGACTCACCTGTGATATTTTTTTTTTGTCAAACAGCAGGCTGATGAAAACCTAGTTTTCAAAACATGGTATCCACCTCTAGAGAAAACGATATCTTGCCTTTCAAAGTTGTATCGCTGTTTAGAACCAGGAGTTTTCACTGGTTTAGCACAGGTATTTAAGCCTTTGTACAGCCACCACATGTTATACTTGTCTTAAATAAATTCCCTTTATATTAATTTTGTTAAACAATTGACTTTTTTTTTTTTTTGGTCTTTCAGGAAGTGGTTGAAGTGTGTTCAACATCTATCCAGGTGAATAGTTCTACACTAATTTTTTTTATAACTCTGCTGTCATATAAGTTATCCGTGTTTATAAAGATGCTGGGATTTGTCTTTTTCCTTTCATTTGCCAGAAAGCGAGCAAACTCATTGCAAGGAGATCATCACCAATGGATGGTCAGCTTTTCCTCATAAAGAATCTTCTTATCTTAAGGGAGCAGGTGATCCCTTATTTCTGCTGTATATATCATAAGTGGTTATTCTTTTACAAATGACCTATTAACACATTTATTTTGTCTTCACAGATTGCACCGTTCGATATTGAGTTTTCTGTCACACATAAGGAACTCGATTTCTCACACTTGCTGGTTAGTTCTTCCAAAGCTAAATTTGTCCTATCCAACTGCATTATATTTTTATTAGGGTTTCAAATAGCAGGGGAAATGGTGCATTGTTGTAGCATCCATTACATAGAGAAGTGGCCCAAAACCCACTAAGTGGAGCTAATTTATTCTTCTCAAATTACTCATAAGTTCTCTAGTTTAGGTTTCGTTTTTACCCAACCAGACAGGCATGTTTCATCAACCAAGATGTTTAGAATGTTTATGTGGTTTAGGTAACAATGCATCTTTTTTTTTTTTTTTTTTTTTTTTGAGAAAATGTAACAATGCATCATTAAAAGTTCCCTAAATGCCTGAAATTCGATGGAATGGAAATCTTAATATTTTTCAATCTCCTTGCGCAGGAGCATCTAAGACGAATTCTTAGAGGTCAAGCCTCTTTATTTGATTGGTCCAGGTCAACTTCACTGGCAAGGACCCTATCTCCCCGAGTTTTGGAAAGTCAAATAGATGCTAAGAAGGTATGTCAATTTTCCTTTCAATCTATGATTTCTTATTTCAGAGCAAGGTTTTGTTTTTATTTGTTGTCACTTTGGGGTTCATTTTCTGTGGATGCTTCATTATATTAACATAATTGGTCGTTACCTCACTTCCATTCATGCTAATGTACTTGCAGGAATTGGAGAAAAGCCTGAAAACCACTTGTGAGGAGTTCATAATGTCAGTCACTAAGCTGGTTGTGGATCCTATGCTTTCATTTGTTACCAAGGTTTGTGTTTGTCGCTTCTCCCTTAGTATCATGGCTGGAAAATTGTCTTGTATTTTCGACCTAATGAGAGACCAGACACTCTTTAAGTATACATGTAATAAACAAACAGAACGTTAGAATAAATTGCCTAATCATGTCTAAAAGATCTTCATTGTGCCTTTTCATAGGTCACAGCTGTGAAAGTTGCAATGTCATCTGGCAGCCAGAATCAAAAGGCAGAGTCGGTTATGGCCAAACCACTCAAAGATCAAGCTTTTGCAACTCCAGATAAGGTGGCTGAACTTGTTCAAAAGGTATGCATTTAAAATAATTGCTGTGGTGGAGAGCAATGTTTCACATCAAAATTGACATTGTTTGGGACACAGGACTTCACATATTAAAATTAAAATAAAGTAAATTATCCAGTCATAAGGTTCAACTAGAGCTAATCCCCGTAATGCATATCTGGAACAGGTGGCTGCTGCTATTCAGCAAGAGTTGCCAATAGTAATGACAAAGATGAAGCTTTATCTGCAGAACCCATCAACACGAACTATTCTATTCAAACCCATAAAGTAAGTACAAGATTCACATGTACAAGGCACAATTTTATGGTTTTCCACATGCACTCCTCGGACTGATTAATTTGATATCAATTATCTATATTCCTTTAGTAACATTGGGCACTGACGATTGGATGCTTTTAATTTGGATCTATGCATTGATAATATCTATCACGCCCAACATCTCAACAAGTTGCAAACTTTTTTTTTTCAATGCAGGACAAATATCGTGGAAGCTCATGTGCAAGTACAGTCCCTGCTAAAGGCCGAGTATACCCCTGAAGAGATACAAGGCATCATAAACATGCCTTCCATACAAGAACTTCAAGCACAACTGGATAATCTCCTTTAGAGTGTTTGTGAACCTAAACATTGTTCTTATTAGCTGGATGATCTAGAGGTTGTTATTGTTAGATTCGAAAAATGCTGCAATATTGAAACACTTTTTTTGGTGAAAGGACGAATATATGTATCAGTTTTGGCTTCAGATAATCGGCCGATGTGTAGTGTTATAGGGTGTTTTGTCAGCCAGATTGCTCATAGGCTGTTTCAGTGAAGCACATTTTCTATTTTTGTAAACGATCATTCTTTTTATACAAGAGATTCAGAATATGCCATTTGCGACTGGAAAATGGGCCCTTGCCCGATAACCCACCGAGGCGCATAAAATTTAGCCCTTGCGTGAGCTTATGATAGCACGAGAGATTGAGACCTTGCCGATGCCTGAGCTTATCATTAGCTTGCATTGCCCATTTCAATGAATTTAGCAATCAAAGCAAATATTACTTGTATAAAACTATAACGGCGGAAAACATTCATCAAGATACAAAATCTGGCAAATTTGGCGCCCTCTGTCATTCAAAGAAAATAATTATGTCTTCCAATATTCCTTAGAAACTAAAAATTCTTTAAAACTAGTTTTGATGTTGATAATCTTGATTTGACCTTACGCAACAGCATAATTGCACGTCTCCTTCAAACCCGTATGAAACAGCTTATGAGAATGTATATGTTTTCTCGTTTTTAAAAGGCTCCTGCACCAATTGATTCTTTTTTAGACATTATGACGGAAATTTTTGCATGAGGTAAAATTTACCCAATAAGAAAATATTATAAAATCCTGAATTATAAAAACATATAACCGTATCAGGGAAATAATATCTTAATGAGATTACTATGTGTTTTATACTTAACAACAAAATAAGAAACTAAATATAAATCTTAAGCATGATTTCTCATCTTTAGGGTTTAGGGATATCATCACCACTGATTTAGTTTGTATAAATTATATAAACTAGTTTTTTATTTTTTTTATTTTTTTTATAATTTTAAATATGAACTAGTATAGACACGTGGATCCAAGAAATTTGCTGTCAAGGAACACCGGCGGATCAACATCTGACAGTAGTCGTGCATTTAATATATACTTTCTAATTTTTTACTTTGGATTTGCCAAGTGATGGCTGAGCATCCAAAGACGGACTTTTCAAAGGGAATAGCCTGAAAGAGACAAAGATATCAACTTTGCTTAAGAAATATGCCTCACGAAAAATTCCTTGCCAAGTCTTCTTATAAAGAAAAAGTTTTGAATGCCTATATCTAAAGAATTATTAAAAAAATAACATTGGGAGCAAGACAAAGAAAACGAGAGAAATTAAGGCATATTGATATATAGCTTTGCAGTGACATTATTCATTCAGCTCAGATTTTCACATATACAAGTAAAAATTGTTGAGATTATTCAGCTTAAATCTCGACATATACAGGCTAAAAGGTGTCACAGCTCTCCATCACCCTGCGCATTTTCTTCACAAAGTTCAGATTGGGACCTACTAGCAACGATCGTTACGGGAGACCACTGATCAGGTACCATGAGAAAATAAGTGGTCATAGCTTTCCTGAAACGTTTCTTGTACTGCTGGGGTGAAATCACAGTGGGAGACGTGTTCTTTGGTCCGCCGAGAAGGCCTGAGGTCTTCACCCAAGTTTCAAGGTGCTTGTCCCATGTATATTGCCTCACAAAATCAATAATCCCCAGAACTAGCTCATCCTTTTCCTCATCCACGCCAACAAGTAATGAATAGTCCATCACATCAATTGACTGGCAAAATAGATGAAAGCATATTAGCAAAACATGGATGCCACAAAAATCACACAACAAAACACAAGGATTTCTGATTGCTGAGAAAATATTAATACTGTGACAGGGAGTTAAATCGAACTTACAGCAAGGAATGCAGTATCATTCCAGACAGCTCTCTCTAGTAGCCGCTTTGCCTTGTTACCCACAAAAATTGGAGAAGTTGGCATTGCTTCAATCAGATTCTGGTCCAGTAAAACTTTATTGCTCCCACTTGTATCTGGATTATAACGTGATCGAGCAGATCCTTTGAGATCATAAAGCCGTGTGACATTCCGTCTAAATAACAAATTCTCCATTACTAAAACATCCATCTTGGACTCTTTTCCTCCTTTACCAAGCTTTGATGAAACCTTCATGACAAAAGGGAAATGAAGAATTTGGGTTAGACTGAGATACAGTGTAAAGTACTATATCATATTCAGGATTTCTTTTTATGGTGAAACTCAAGTCAAAAGAATTTGGTTTTCTCAATCTAGATTAGACAAGTAAGAAAATCCAGATGAATACTTTTGCATCTGTTACACAGGCAAGATGTCAAGATTGAGATGTGAACATGAATGAGGTAAGATCTACTAATTGATCTGATTATAACTAGTTGCTAGTTCCATATCTGAACAAGAAAGCGGCAGCAGCAGGAGAAGCAGTTAGTTACCAAGGCAAATGATAATTTTATAGCTCAGGTAATGACCTCAACATAAAGTCATTAAGCATTTTGGTGAAAGCAAAAGCAACGAAGAATACCTGATAAATACCCAGGATCTTTGCCAGGCAAGTCGGGCTTCGAGTACTAATTGACTCTGACAAATACTTAAAATAAGATGGTGCAAACTTGATAAACGACTCCAGCTCCGTCTTTGTAACTTGTTTGATGATAAACCGATCATCCAAGGTTTTTGCAAAGAAAACATTGCTCTTTCCACCCTGGGCCCCCCACTTCTTACAACGGCTAAGAGATCGCACAAAATCTATTTCAGAAGGGCAGCATGTCCTCCTTAAAGCCTCAAACCGGGTTGCGTAGTAACAAGTCACTGTATACTTCACCTTGCCAAGGGGCCCATCATCTGCAAAAGAAACTCTAGCATGTAAATCCTTTGACAAGAGTGAGTCCAAAGCCTGAGAGCTCCGTGACAGTGACGTGGATATGAGGCTCTCATCAGACGAACCAAGATTCCTGTAGGTCTCAGAAACTGCCTCATCAAAAGAGGTAAGTGAGAGAAGATTTGCTGAATCAAAAAGCGGTAATGAGACTGAAGAATCCAGAGCATCTTTTGGTCTCTCAGACTCAGAGATCTGCAAATGGTAATCAGGCGAGACAAGTGCATATGCAATAATACTAGTGGGTTCATCATCAAACACAGGGATAACAGTGTCATTAACACCAATAGGCAGTAGCAGCCTGGCACCACTTTGCCGTTCCAATTCCCTGAACAATGGAACATAGACAGGATTGCCCTCACCAACAAAGAGCTTCTGAGCATTCAAGGAAATATTTTTGTCGAATCCCTTAAGATGCAATGGAGAGCTAAGAGAATGAGTTACCTTTACCCCAACTTGGTCAATAGTATAGTTCTGCAAATCTGAATTAGATGCAACTTTTCTTATTGCAGTTGGAGAATTTACTAAGGTTGAATCAGGAATAGAATAGCCATTGTCTTTAGGTATTGTACTAGTTGGATGACTTTCACCAGTCCAAGCTGCATCAAGGGTATCAGATAAATTTGCCACTGTTGGACACTCATCCCCTTCTGAGAGGGCCCTTCGTACACTTTTTCCAGATTCCAATGGATCAGATTTATCTATGACATTTGGAAAGGAAGGAGTGGAAAGATCAGCCTCATTACTATGATTCAGATCCAGACCCATTTCAGTTTTGTTATGAACCCCTCCAGGCGGGCTCAAGTAGCCAACATCTCCTCCTGGATTAACATTTATATCGGGCTTTGTTTCCAGAAGAGAGGAATCACAAATACTAACTCCTTTACCTGGCTTGGAGTTTATATTTGTCTCAGCAAGCTTCTCCATAGAACTGAGAGGTTTCTCCTTGAGTTTTGGAAGGGAACTGCTCAAACCTTCCTGAAAACCTTTGTTACTTAAACTGGCAGCATGAATCAGGCGTTGGTCCCAAACGTAAGAGTGGAAAAGCAACTGCCTCCGCAATTTATTGATCTCAAGAATATCAATTGCAGGATGGCCAAACTTCACCTCCCTATGCATAATTTTTCGCAGTGATTCCTAAACAATGCCATTGTCACCAGTGAGATACCAAATAATGCAAATAAGAGAACTTCCTTAATAAATGAAAAAGGAAATGAAAATTTCATAATGCTGGGTAGACTTCAAGTAGGAAGGAGCAGGTGGAATGGGGGTGGGATTCAAGTGAACTACCTCAAAGTCTTCTCTTTCCTTTTGAAGCATCTCTTCAAGTTCTGCAATTTGATGACTTGATTCAGGTGTTTTCTTACCACCATCCTGTGTCCCTGCAAGTGGTCTCTTCCCTAAAATTTGATTAAGAGCATTGCGCAATTCAGTAAATAGAAGCTCTGCCCGATGACCCACCTAGTAACACAAGATCAACAATCTCATAAGCACTGAGAAGTTTAGAATCACTTGCTATAGCAACTAAGATTTAAAAACTGCACCTCATCTGCTTCTTTTTGTATCCATTCCTGATTATCATAGTGAAATTCGAGTTTGGATGGTGGCAGATAAACAGAATGAACATGAATTGAGGCATAGCTGAAGCAAGCAACCATTCTTCCAAAACTGTACACGTAAGAACAATAGGATAAGAAGATATCAAATAACGTTGCTTTAGCGTATAGATGAGAACTTAGAAAGAACAAAAAGAAACAAAGTGATGCAACAGAACAAGTTTTTCCCTGAAAAGCAAAAAGGTAAACTGAGAATGGTGACAAGATGTCTTGAAGTCTAGACCACTCAACCCAAGAAACCCAAATCAGAGCACCTTGAGTTAACAGTTATGAAACCACCCTGACTAACGTGCAGTTGTCTAAGCTGAGAAATTATGACAAAATTATGAATGTAGTGTCTATCTGGTGCAATGACAGAAAATATTTCATACACGTCCTGAATGTTTTTCTTCTTCAACATTTTCTATTTGGTGGGGTGGACTGAGACTGGTTAGTGCAAGTTTCAGCAGTTCAAAAGGGAAAATACATACCCATAAAACCGAAGACAATCTCTGTGAAGGGAATGACCACAGGTTGCGACTCTGTTTGCAGCTGCATGATTTGAAAAGCTCAATTCCAAAAATTTCCCAAAAGATAAACCCCAAGCAGCATCTGACATGACTACTCTGCGAGTTGCTGGAGGAAAGCCATTGGTTCGAGGACATCTCAAGCACCTGTGCCACATCCAAATTTTGCCTTCCCTTTCCCCCCGTAACAAAGTCTCTGGGAGTTTCTTAACAGATATTGTAAGGCTCCCTTGTCTATGAGTATAACAATGAACATGCGCTTCTGATGGCATCCCACATGAACGACAAAGGTAACTCTAATAAAGAAGAATGACAATTTCGTGTTATGACTGTGCTGAAGAAAAATATATTTCATATCAAATTAGCAAAGGAAAAAGGTCATGATTGACAATAAAAAGTACCTGATCAAATAGATGATCTCGTAAGAACCTCCCCAAAGGCTTATCAAAATTTCCATAGTATTTGATTCGAAAGAGATGGGACCGTTCACAAACAGTTCCTTTCCACACACAACGTGTTGATAGGGAAACCAAAATGCTTTGGTGGTCAGAAGGTGAGGGGGGAAACTCTTCCTTTGAAGATTCCACCTCCTCATTGTGATTATCACTATGATTTTTTATGGACGTAAATTCTGGAGCCTCTCCAAGATTTGCAGCTAAAGCAACATTATCAGCATGGCTATTGCCACCACCATGTTCTATTGCCTCTGAGGCTCCAAAAGAATTAGAGATCAATATATCATTGAACAAAGCTTCTCCAGCCTTATCTGTTTTGGCCAGGAAAGATTCTTTACAACCCATATCAATATCATTTTCAGAGGCACAAATTCCGGGGAGCTTTTTACGGTAGGAATCTCTGATATCCTCTCCCAGGTGAGACAAGGAACTGAAGGGAGATCTAGGTTCTACAGAGCCAGAGGAATGAACTCCAAGAAAAGCTTGAGAGCAAGCAGCTTTAGATGAGCAAATTGAATTAGCGCCTTCCATATTCAAAATGGGGTTGATATTGGTACACAAGTCACTATCTGAAATTGAGCCTTTATTAGATTTCTGTAGTTCACTGCTAGCTTCGGGACCCTGAGGCTTGCCAGCCGCTGGGACACTAAAACCAGGTATTGTGGAAATAGACCTGTCAATACTTGATGGTTTATCGGGTAATGCAACAGTTATCACAGACTTCAAAGGAAGTTCTGGAAGTGAAGCACCTTCATCAGCTAGAAATGAAGTCTCCAGAGCCAAGTGATAAGCCGCAAAAACTCCATATTGGACAACATGTTTCACCTTCTTTAACTCATCCCCATTGGCACCACGGAGCAAAATCTGAAACAAATTCAATTCATCTGAATACTTCCGACTCTTCTTTTTCAAATTTTCTTAAAACAGAAAACAGATTAAAAGGAATTACTACTACAAATGCAAAAACAGGCATGCAATTGCAACCCACAACCCATCAGTCCAAGCTAAGAACTCCATCTTACAATATTAACATCCTCGGTCAGTGATCCTGTTAAGCTGATTAGAATTTCCTAGTCTCTGCTATATTGCTTTTGTGCTCCCACCAGGATATTATATTTGTCTAGATAACCTAACTGAAAATACAGTAACTAGCCTATACATACAAGGTCTAAGAAGAACAACAATAAGTGCAGTTAATGCCCAAAATTTAAGCAGAATTTTGTATATCCACCATGTCCATGTGTGATGTAATTATATTGATGACTTACAGTAACACCCAAGGGCTTCGGGCAACCCTCGAAGAACATTAGAGTCTTTGTCAATTTCTTCCCACCTTGCCCAGCACTGCCATGCACTTCAAGAAATTTCTCCACATGGAATATATCACAATACCCTAGTTTTGGTGATATGAGATGATCTATTGAAGGGACTATTTGTGCCCCAGTGCAGCGGGCTATTCGCTCTAAAAGTGGCCTCTTGATATTCAGAACAAGTGATATGTCTTTCGCAAGAAGGTAATCTTGAGCATAACGGGATACAGACTTCTCCACCAAAAGAACATTAGGGTGATGTGAGTCTATCTTTGCAACTGCCATCTTCAGATGATCCATTTCCTAAAATAGAGAATATAGTCCATCAGAAGAAGAAACCTCCTGGATTGCTAAATGAATGGTAGGATAAGTAAGTGATACAAAACATAAGCAGAGTTCAAACCCTTATCAAAACCCTATATATTTAAATCTTTAACTTACAAAGCCTAAATAAAGGGACAAGGGAAAAGGTAAAATCAACCTGCTGCAACAAAGTATCAAAACTTGATAATAGATTTGAAACACGCTGATATTCCAAAGCTCCTCCAAGGATTAAAAAGCGTGGCTTTTCTATCTTTGATGTCATTCGCCGATGAGCCACATTTTTCTTACAAACAACTCCTTTAACCACCGTACTGAAGAAAATGAAAACAAAAGAAGTCAAAATTATGAAAATGGGTGATTTGTTACAAGAACATATAACCTTAATGAAGCCTTATTGCAATGAATGGTGGTGATTGAAGACATGAAGCGAACATTCAAGCAAGCATATAGGATCTATTCAGCAAAAACATGTCATCCACCTCCAAGAACCTAAAAGTATGAATCATCAGTCTAACAGAATGACAAAGGCCATCTTCTTTTAATAAGCTTTCACAATGATATTTGTGTAGAATGGAAATCTCCATCTTGGACACATAAATGGTTCAATAACAGAAGATATGGTTAAATAGCTAATGATTAACACTTCAGCCCAAATCGATAGCTAAAATATACTCATTGATAATAGAACCAACAAGAAATTCTTGCATAAGCTGACATAACAGGACTGTCACAAATATAAGCTAAAATTTTGGGAACCATTCTGAATTTGGTCTACTGAAATACTACACCGAATGACAGTGCCTTAAGCTGCACTGCAATGTGAAACCATACACCGACTTTAGATCAAAATTACCTCTCATTCCTACGCCCACAAGCTATGCATTTGACCTTCACATATCCCCCAGGATCCATTCCTCCACCCTTGCTTGTATCTGGTTTAAGGAGTGTGGCAGCCTCCCAAGACAAAGATGTAATTATGTCCAACCAGCTCTCTTTGTTGTCTTCATCAGCCAGAGGTAGGTTTTCAACCTGCAAAAGCTGAGCTACCAAAGCTCTAAAATGACCTTCCACCACATTCTTCATCGCATTCCTGTGCTCCTCAATTGACTTCTCTCTAGTACGACACTCCCCACTACCAAAGCTATTTGAAGAACGCAAATATCCCCACTCCCCAGCAGCACCACCAACACCACCACCATCTTCATCGTCCTCATCAAATAAGACAGCTTCTCTCTCATCTTCCTCATCCTCAGGCTCTGGAGGGAGCCAAAGTAGCCCATTGTTCTCGAAATCCACAGGTTCTGCATTTGTACTTTGCAGGTCATATGGAGAAGTTTCGCACTCATCACAATTATCGTGTTCATATGATTCTTCCCTGAGTTCCTGACTTCCCTCTACACCCTGTGTATCAAAACCCTCAGGTAATAAGGAACTCATGTTATCTCCATCAAGATGCACATTGTGTGGTCCATAAACATTATCGAACTCCTCGATATTGACTGCACCATAATAGTCATTGGCATGAGAGAAATGACTTGGTTCTGAATCTAAACGATAAACGCCATAGTCATCATCCTCATCATCACTCCTGGTATCAGAGGATAAGTAAAAACATGAAACTAATTACCTTATAAAAAATCAGATGTAAGAATATGAGAATACAGTCATTAATATGACCTAACACAATAAATGTCTCACAGGTAACATTCACCTTAGATGAAGAATGAATGAGTCAAATGATATTTCACAGAAACAGAAACCCTTTATTCACTTTTCAACCCGCATTTTGTCTTCTTTATTCAGAAATACTCAAATATCTTACAAGGACAATTGAAAACACATGTGAAACTAGAGAAAATAATGCTGTATCAATTTGTGAAAGTACTCAGAAAAAAATATTCAGATAGGGCAGGAGATACCTGTTCATGCCAAAGCCAAAGTGGTTAGGAGACGACTCTGCCATGGCTGCATCAGAACTAATACTCCTCTGAGATGTACAATTGTCTTGCGTGGCCGTAACTGAATCGATTTGGGGAGATGATTGATTAGGGCTAAGACCAGAAGTATACGGAACACGCTGGTAAGGTCCAGTCGAATAAGGGGTAGAGCCAATAGTGCTGCTACTACTGTGGCAGGTGCAGCTGGACTTGGTGCTTGCCAAACTTGTCGCAGATGGTGATGGACTGAGGCCAGGGCTTCGTGCAGGAGGGCCATTATCAACTGTTGCTATCCCTTGCTCCCATTGCCTGAAGCAATAATTACAGACCCTAATCCTCTCCCAATCTTCCCTTCCAACCCTTTGCTCATCAGATGGGGCAGGAACAGAGTTTGCAGTACACTTGGCACAGAAAACTCGGCCACAAAGTCGACAATGATGCCTCCGGTTAAATATTGTGAACTGAGAGTCACAGTCATAACATACCCTACAGCTCTGATCAGGCATCCAAAAGTCCCTGGACACATTGGGCGGCTCGGACCTCCTGGGGATCCAAGACTTGAAAATGTCAACTAACTCGGATAGTTTGTTGTCGGGGGTGCCCATCGACAACTACCCCACCCAAGCCCACTCATGATGAGAGGATCATTGCAAACTCTTTCCACAACAGACGACAAGTGAGTACGAATGCACCTGCTAAGAAATAAAATTCCAAAAGAAAATGAAGCAATTGCAAAACCCAACAAGATCACCACTTTATGAATTTGGAACTCAATAAGGTAGGACTAGCTGATTGCTAAGAGCTCATTGAAATTAAAATGTACACATAAATGCCATCTTAACACTCATACTTGGATTGACAACTCCAAAATTCATAAACATAAAAAGAGAACCTGAGAATTGAGGTTTGCAGAGAAACTGAGAATTCAAAAAAAGAATTACCCATTGTAGCTAGCAAAAGGGTTGCATGCAAGGGCACAACTTAAGCTTAATTTTCTCATGGTGTAGAAGAAAAGCAACATAAATTACCAGGACTAAGAGTTGCGAAGCAGCCAAATTCAATTCCCCAGGGCGAAAGTCCCCAAATTCAGTGCCTTTCCGAATTGGAATTCTGAGAGATTGCAAACAATTACAGAGCTCAATCCCAAAATGCTTTCTTTCTTCAATTCAATTTATCTGTGTTCCAACCAAACAACCCAAGCCCTAATCAATCAAACAAGGCGCAAAATCTTCGATAGACCCCACCAGAAATATAATCACGTCTTATATGCAGAATATATAAATGTTTTAATTTCGGCTCAAAATGGTTTGTTCATACAACGACAAACCTGCACATATTCGTTCATGGAAACAAACACGAACCATAAAATATATAAACCACACAAAAATTATTATTATTATTATTATTATAATCATACGAAAAATTACAAGATAAAGAAAGACGAAATGTCAACCGCACCTGTAACTGTAATTCCCCACTATTTGGCGCTCCCATTGAAACTTTACTCTATATGTCATGCCAAGATCCACCGACTTATTTAATGAATTCTCATGCAAAAAATTTATACCTTCTTCCTCTATTTTTTTGTCTTTTGTTGTTTGTTTTTGGCTTGTCATATTAATTATTATTTTTTAAATATTGTTTTTTTGAAATTTTGTGTGGAGTGGTGGCACGTCGAAGAAGAAAAGGATGGTTCTTTACTCATGAATCACCATAATTATTATTAATTATTTGCATACTATAATCAGTGCATGTGAAGATAAAAAGATAAATGTTTTGATAACTTTTTATATTAGAGATTGATTTATGATAAAACTAGAACGGTAGCACGTCATGCATGTGTGTGAGAAAAGAACTTTGTGATTTTTGCCGATGGTTTTAATTTTGTTTTAATTTTATAAGCTAGGATGATTCATTGTTAACTTTTATCTTTCTCGTATTTATTTAAGTCAAATATGAGCCACTCTGTAATTCGGTGGAATGACTTTTTTTCTTGAGAAGTGAAAGTACTTCTGCATTCATTCATGTGAGTCGAATATGAGATTTTTTCTAATTAAGTGGATAAAACTACATTAAATTCGGTTTTTATAGCAAATAATTCATCCCAGATACCATTTTTGCCAATGGTTTTTAAAGCATATAATTCATCTCAATAGTCATTTTATTGAGTAGATGCCGAGCGCGTGGTCATTGGTCAAACAAGACAACACGTGACCAAGGCCACGTGATTGAACTGATCCAACTGCTACAAGTCAAAACCACGCCATGAAGTATGAACCATCGCTGGTGCATGCCCTTCTGATTCATATGGTCGTAGTGTGTGCCATGTGTGTGTTGGAAGATGACAGATAACCCTAGAGAATTTGATTTCTTTTGAAGGCCAAAGGGCGATAAAATAAATTTTAAAATAGAAAAATAAATTAAATACATGGAAGTAGCAACTAACCCAATTTGCTAGAGAAGCCTAGAAAAAAATAATGAGGTAAAAGTTATATATATCTCTTATTCTAAGTTATCTTGCAGCAAAAGAATGGTTCTTGGCTTCTTGTTTGACCTCAGGCAAGCTGCTGTTGCTGCTGCTGCTGCTGTTGTTTTGAACAAGGCCGCTATCGTTGAAACCGGTTTTCTTCCAATCATCAGAAGCAGGAGCTGGTGATGATGATGATTTTTTTTCTGTGGATATGGCATCAGCAAGAGCAATTGGCATAAGGCAGAGACCTTTGCTTTGGAGATGCTGCATTGCCTTGGTCACATCTGATTCCATCAGCCTCGCTACTTGCTCTAAGGCAATTTCATTGAATGAAATGTCAGTTACTTGGCCAACTGAAGGCAACAGCGAAGAACCATTGGCACCCTGACATAGATTCACTTATCAGAACAATGATCAAGTTGTTCTTATTCCTAATTAGAACATGAGAGAGAGAGAGAGAGAGAAGAAAATTTAGAACATTAGCTTGTTGAGTGTCTGTGATGAGAGGAACAACTGCTCCTGCAGCACCAACTCTGCTCATGCTTAGCACCTGCATATTGTCATATCAAGCACCAAATTATGGACAGTGTAACAGAATTCAAAGTCTCAGTTCTGTTAATTGTGATTTTGTTCAATTTTTCAGACCGTATTTGAGTCAACCATCCACAGTTTGGGAAACTGAAAATTGAGTTTCATTACAACCCTATTTCTGGAGCACAGAATCTAAACTGTTAATGAAGGTTCTCCATCATATACCTTGATTTGGAGCTGAAGGAATTTGACATACTCAATGATTTCATCTAGCATGGATGCCTTGTCGGTCTGCAAAATCGTGAATCATATCAGCTCTTCTTTAAATCCAGCCCTATAAATTACACTGGCAACTGTTTCAGTGTGAGATGGAAGAGCTTACCCTGTTAGAATTCGGTACCAGTTCTTGCAGGTTCTTCATTCTTTCAGCAATTTTTTCTCTCCGAAGCTGCAAATATGTGTTTTATAAGATATAAATGCTTAGTCCATTTAATTCCCAACCAAATTCCTTTGACAAGTGGACTTCAAATTCTAATGGTTCAGGTCTTGGAAACAGAGAATGCATGAAGAAGCAAAACTTTATATGAATGACACAACTAACCCTTTCAGCAATGCTGTGTGGATCAGTTGCCTGGCCTCGACGTGCCCTCATACGAGGCTTTCCAGTTCCAGTACATTCAGCAGAGGGGGTAGTTGATGTAGCCTGTAAGTGAAAATTGTAAGTTCATTTTTTAACAATGCTTGATAGAATTAGGATTTCCTTAACTGATAAAACTCAAAAGTATCCAAGAGAACAGTGGAGATAGGATAAGTACCTGCTGTAAAGACTGCAATCCAGACATTGTCATTGTAATCTGAGGCCCAGAAGCAAAAGAAGGCAAAGGATAATTTTGTAGGTCCTGCTTTCCCTTCAAAATTACACAAGCAACAATCATAAAACCATTTCACTTACCAAAACTGTAAATAGATAATCATAACTATGAGTTAAAATCTAAATTGTAGCTTTTTACCCAAAAAAAAAAAAATCTAATTTGTAGCTACCCAAGTTTTTCCCTAAAGCTTATATAACTAGAAATATTAAGTAAGTTTATGATCCTAGACTGATACCTCTGTGCTGACTAAAGCAGCCAAGTTATTGGGATCGTTTGCCATGGCATAAGTACCATTATCCCCATATTCTCCTTTTAAGCCAAAGCTGCACATTCTGTGCTGTCCCATACCAGGAGAAAGAGAAGAAGGAACACCCTCATAAGATTGAAGAGGCCACAACTGAGAAATCGAAGAAAGGGTTTCGAAATCTCCATTGAATCTTTCGAACATGGATGGTTCACGGTTGTTGCATACCACATTTTCCGGCTCTATGCCGGAAAGAGATGTTCTCACCATGTTACCATTCAAAGGCAGCTGCTCCAGAGAAGCAAGTGAGCAGGGGGTTACGATATCCACATCATATTGCAGGCCCGGATTTTCGACTTTAAAGCTACGATCCACCTTTCCATTTGAGAGGTTTGGCTTGAAGTGTTTACCATCATCTTGTGCATCTGACTCTAAATCATGAACAATAGATGAAGCATCTTGAGCAGCCAAGCTCTCCATACTGTGGTTTGAATTAGTCAGATATGTAGGTGAACTATTGTTGTCATCCTCATCCACTCCAGCTGAATTAAGAAGCATTTCATTTGGTTGCCCACATTCACAACATCCCCAAGATGATATCTTCTTCACGTCTACATCTGACCATGAAGAGGAACTGAAAAATTGATTAAGATAGTTGTCCATCTTCAAAGATGAAGACTTTTCCTTCTCTGCTTATTTTATGCTGGCTGCACCTAAAGTTCATGAAAAATGGACATACAATTAGCTTAAAGACTTTCCTGTACATGAATTTACTGTCATGTTTTCCAATAAAGCCTAAGAAAATCAGCACTCACTAAATCTATTATGAAATGAGTCTCTGAAATTCCTTGAAGATCCTAAATTTAGCAGGAACAAAACCCCAATCATACATTCCAGAAAACCCAACACAGATTTATTACAAAATTTGCATGAAGAGAACAGAAAAATATAAGACATATATATATACCTGGCCTTATAATCTAAATGGCAGCTAAATTAAACTCATGGGTTAAAATATTGATCACATTATCTTCCATAAACCCAGTTGACAGAATTGGTTTCCAAGCGTGACAACAGGACACACAACATACATTCATACGTATATGCTTACATACATATATATATATATATTATTTTGCAGAAAGAGAAAACAGTAAACAATAATGTGAGATCAAACATTGACACTCACCGAGAGAGAGAGAGAGAGAGAGAGAGAGAGAGAGAGAGAGAAGCAGAGAGAGAAGGAGAAGCAAGAGATAGAGAAGAGGGGTAAAAAA